CCCGTTCCGACCGTCGCGTTGCCAACGGCCCGAGCAGTGTCGGAAGTGGAGGTCTGGAGCCCGTGTGAAAAATTCAAGATTGGCAGAGCATCGATGTTCAGGCTGAGATGTTCTCCCGCGAGCGAGGGGCTGGTGTTGGCCCCTCGCATGCAGCTGAGCACGTGATCATACTTGGTGGTGTTGGCAGCTATGCCATGAGAACGTGTCTCACCTGAGCCAAGGAAAAAAGGGCAGCCACGGCACTGTCAGAAAGAACCGCGGAGGCTGGGAATGGGCTGGAATGGGTCTTTCGGTTTGTCCAAGCCTGCTTTGTGCGCAGGCGGCGACTGGTGGGGCAATGAGGGTCGGGGGCCACAGCATGGGCGCAAGGTTGTTTGGTGACTCGTGCATGGCCTGAGGCTGGTATGGTAGTGGCGAAGGCTGAAGCTTTGAGCAGGCCGGGGTGTAGACACATCTGAAAACTGCTGCGAAGGTGATGACTGGGATTGGAACTACTACCCAGGACATCTAGCAATATTCGACTCCTGCTGCCGCTCACCTACCTGCTGCTTCAGGATACTATTTTTGGGGCAGTGGATGGGGCCAGGGCAATGGCTACAAAGGTGCCCTTGTCTGGAAGTCAGGGCATGTTAGGGCCATTGCCATTACAGCTATCACAGCTATGGCTCCTGCGGCAACTAGGCCCTTCGAAGGGCAAAAGCAAGCAGAGTGCGGGCCCTGATCCCAGCTTTATGGTAAATTTTGCCTATAAGCAATGTTGAGGCAATCCTGGCAAGGGCAAGGATGCCCGAAACCGCTCCAAGAACGTGGAAGGCGAAAGCCGCCAAGGTGCACGGATTGCAAGGATCGCCCTACAAGTTAGCATCATACCATGACATGTCATGACCATCGCCGTCACCATCACCTGAGGTCCCAAGGCCAGTGCTGAGCCATGGGCCAAGTTTCAGCTGCTTGGACAGAATGAGATCCACCTCTGATATCTTCTGATGACCCTTGTTCACCACTCCTCCTGCCAGGTAAGATGAGCCTCCATGAGTTCCTTGACTTTTAGCTGGAATAGGTTGGTGGGGCCCTTGCGTTGGTCTCTGCCCGCACCGTAGATCCCAGTCCTCATGAGCCACCAAATGGGCTGGAGACCTGCGCAACGACGGCACGGACCGGTTCAGCCGGCACTGAGATTCTCACATTGCTTTTCTGAACCTCGGCGAAAAGAAGCATGTAGAGTGCACCCGATGCTTGTTTTCAAGATTTTGGAAATGCACCAAGCCCAGAAAGCATGCAAGTTCGTGGCCCAAAGAGTCCCGAGGTTCTGAGACAGCTCATGCTGGATAGACCTGTAACTTTGTGTGAGACATGGCGAAAGCATCTACCTCGAAGCGGAGATGCAAACAATTACTTGTTTTCCAACAGTGCTTTACTTGAAGCGGTTCAGCTGCAACTGCGATTGCAATGGCGCTGCCACCATAGCACCTGGGAGGTGTATGCAGTTCCTTGCATTGCTTGTCATTGCTTTTGCTGGCTACAGCGAGCTTCTCACCGTTTGTTGGTGAGTACTCGCAGAATTTTGCCAAGCATGAACTGGATGGTTTGCTGAACAGGCTGCATCAACGCTTGGTGTTAGTTTTCAGATGGAAAGGTTTGGCCATGCAGCACAGGATGCATGCCTTGTCGTGCATCCCACCTGAGGGGAATGGTGTCTCTCCGTGTGCAGCATGCTGTTGTAAGGTGTGCGGCAACCGCGGTCTAACTGAGTCTAACTTGTTTTTTTATTGTCGGCACTGGCAGGTGGACACACAGGGTGTCCTGTCAACGAGTGGCCTTCTCTCGTGTGCTAGCCTGAGATCTGCGAGCAATGTCTTAGAGGCTAATCAGTGCATCCTGCGATCTGCTTGGCTCAAGGCGTCGGGTGCTAGAGCTTAGCCGGAGCCCAGCTGGAGCTTTTAGGCTTGTAGAACTGAGACTCCTAGAGAATGGCAAGCTGCACTCTCGCCGATGGCCGGTGCATGCTGGTCTTCGAGGACCTGAAGCGGAAGACCTCTGAAGTCAATTGGGAGCCCTTGAAATTTTCAGCATCACGCTACTGAAGTACTGAAGTGCAGCTGCAAAGGATGACGCGGCCATGTCCAAGCAACTTGTGGCAGAGGTGGGCTCGAACAAGAATTCAGCTTGGGGCTTCTAAGGATCTCAAGCAAAAACAAATTTTGTTACCTTGCAATTATAATTCAATAACATTATAGCGCAGGAGGGCCACTGGTGGACCAGCAGTTTCGAAACCATGGTACAAGCTATCGCCATGATAATCCTGATATTTGGGGAACTGCTTGGTCAATGGGAGGTATGCTTTGGTGTAGATCTCGGCATAGAACATGTCAGTCTTTTAAGATACCGCCATGTGCCATGCTAAGACAGCAATGTGGACGCAGTCTTGAGACCCAGTAGTTGCCCAGCAGAAAGCCACCCTGACAGTAAGCAAATCCTGCGGACTTAGTAACAGAAGCTCTCTGCAGGTGAAGCTGCATGAAACTGGAACTGCTTTCTTCAAAGCGCCTCCCAGCCTTCAGGTGTTTTTTTAGGAAGCTTACAGCCTGGGCCGTCGCTTGGTTCTGTGCAACCCAGCATTGCAAAACTGTTAGCCTGCTGATGCCCAACCTGCGGCTTTTTCAACATGCAACCATTCGTACAAGCGTGGCCGTGCTCGTGTATTGATCTCGTCTTGTGCTCCCGGCTCCGACGAAGTAGATGGAGGAGGAAGCGTCTGCCCATGCTTCCCTTTTCATAGCGTTTCAGCATTTGCAACGCCGGGTCCTAGGTGAGAACTGGTGTGGAGCAGAGGCCAACCGTTGCTCAGTATGTTTTTGAATCCCCAGGTGACGGAGGCGGCCAATGCGGCAATCAGTGCCAAGGGCAGTTTCAGTCTATGCATCCCAGCCGGCAGTGTTGTGTCGGCCTTGAAGGATCTCTCCCCTTCTGCAGTGGATTGGACGAAGGTGAATGTTTTCTTCACGGGAGAGCGATTGGGCTTAAACAAGTCGTACACCGCAGCCCTGGATGCATTCTGCAGGAAGTGTGGAATACAGTCCCTTGTCTGTGATGCATGAGCACTGTGAGACACCTGCATCTCGCATGTGAGTCTCTGTGCACTTTTGTCTGAACCGCGATCTTCTGAGGAACGTCTTCTATCCGATCCTACGGCCGCTGTTCAGCACCGGCACTGGCCTCCCTGAGTTTGCTGTTAAGGAGGCCACGGAGGCCTACACTTGCCTTCTGAAGAATCACCCGGCCATTGACAACTCTGGGGCAGTGCCCTCCTTTGATCTGCTGCTTCTTGGGGTCGGTGAGGATGGCCATTGCGGCTCGCTCCACCCAAAGAGTGACCACATCAAGGCAGCAGGGAATGGCACCGTCACCTTCGGCATCCACAAGCCGGGAAAGAACCAGATTGCCATCTCGATGGATGTCATGTGTGCGGCCAAGTGGCCCACAAGCAAGCAGCTAGAGTGAGCTTGTGTTTCAAGAAATGCAGCTTTCTCATGGTAGAAGCATAAGAGAAGTCTTGGATAGAAGAGGCAATTCGGGGGTGTCAGGTTGTGGGTCATGCTTGATTCAATGCCAGCGTCCCTTCCCAGAGGAAAGCAATCCTGGCCGCTACTGGCGAGAAAAAGAAGGATGCCGTGCGGCGTGCCCTTTCCGGGGACTTCGAGACGCATGACTGCCCAGCAGCACTGGTCAAGGTCCCAGGAGTCCGGAAACTTAAGTGTTAGATAATTAGTGGTAGGTTACTGGGACCTGGGAGCAAATCTGAGTTGCGAACACCCTGAGGCGGTCTCCACCACCTGGTACGTTGACAAAGCTTCCCTTGCTGACTTCAAGCCCTAGGCCGCGCTACTCTGCATGCGCTTCTTGTGTGGGATGCAGGTGTGCTTTGCCAAGAAGCTTAGATGGTCGATGTTTGTGCTCCAATTCGATACATGAACTTGGAGCATACCAAATGTGAGTCCGCCAGCAAAGACACAGGCAGGGCTGCATCACTAGCGGAAAATGCACGCACTTTGGAGAGAGCCATTCGCCCAGATCCTCTTCCCAACCCTATAAATCTCGACCAGTCGGGTTAAGTTCATGCGGGCAAACTGCATGCCGACAAACCTATAGACTTAACTGCCTTGAAGAACAGAGCACCATTTTGAACGATGATCCTGTCATAAGGTCTGGCACATCCTTTTCGAGGTGCTGAGGCAAGGCAGTCCGAGCTTGGGCGTTGCTGACACCTCAAACAGCCGCGTACGGGATTCAGGCATTGGAAATCAGAAGTTACTGTCATGCTTGCCCTTGGGCAACAGCACAGCCTTGCCCGCCACCAAGCTGTTGGGCCTCTTTGCCTTCTCTCTCTCTCTCTCGCGTTTTTTCTCTGGCTGTCTCTATCCCTCCCCCTGCTTCCCTGTTGGCCTGCATGCGAGCTTGTCGGAAATAAAGCTGAAAGCAACAAGGCGTGCGCTGATGGAGATATCGTGCTGGCATGGGGCGACAACCATCGTGGTCAATTTGGAGACGGCAAGAGAACATCTCGGCCGACTCCTGAAAAGGCAAGGTCGCAGAACCAGATAAAGCTAAGCTTGCGGGAAAGTCTGACAAGAAGATGGGGATTGATCGGAGTAGGAAGTCTTAGGTCTGCCCGCCAGTCAAGCGCCTGTGAAGTCTCGGCTGAGCGGCAGCACAGGTGTTTGACGCTGACTTTGTCGGCCTGGCGGCTGGAATGCAGTCGTTTGGCTCAGAGAAATCACAGTCTTCAAGTTTTCACTACGCAAGCTTCTGCATATTTCTGCATCCTCTGCGCAACTAAGGCATAGCATGGGCCTGACCCAAACGGGTCGGCTCCTTTGCTGGGGAGGCCTTCAAGCAAAATCATTACGGTAGCATGCCACCCTTTGAACGCGCATGCGCTGCAGATCTTCCGGCCAAACTGCAGAGTGGCTACTGTAGGCATCATATGAGCTACGGACTAAATTTAGGCTTGGGGGGACCTGGAGGGGACCATATAGAGTTTGGGGGAACTATAAGGGATATACCACGAGTTCAGTCCAGGGCTCACATGTTCCTGTAGCACTCAATGAAGGCAACGAGTTCGGGCAGCTTGGCGACGGTACGTTGCTTGGCTGGAGGTCAGATGCAAAATGAGATGCCGCTTATAGATCTCTACCACGTATCTCAGAGCAAAGCACAGGCTTTGAAGCTGTCCAGCACTTTGATTTTAGGAAAATACACAAACATTGAAGGGGGATCTTCTCGTGTTGGGCAATGCCATGCTCAGTTTTGATTCGATTCGACGTCTGTATCACCAACTCACAGCAACAAGCGCAACAAGCATCTTCCGAGTACCAGCTTGCGGCGGCTTCAGAAGTCCATCTTTTACGTGGAATAAACACACATGCGAGATGCGAGCAGTAAGTAGTCCTGACGGTTGCAGCTTTGCAGCTTTGCAGCTGACAGGATCCGGCCACGGCTGGAGCCAGTTGAGGTTGAGCTGCCTGGCATCAAGCAGATCTCCGCAGGCGGAGAGTTTTTGGAGCCATCTCGGAAAACAGAAAGTCATGGGAATCTCATCGTTTTTGGCCAGGCTGGTGGCACAGCTTGGCTGTTACGGGCAGTGGTGAGGTCTGGACCTGGGGACAGAATAAGCAAGGCCAGGAGCTGATGAAACGCGATGCTTTCTAGTCACTATGTCCATTTTCTGCTGCTCTGCGTCGTCACCAGGTAGTTGACCATTGCATTCAAACACGACGAAGGCCAACTCGGCGACGGAACACAGGAAACGCGCATGTCTCCTGTGCGAGTGGCATCCGGAGTACGACAGGCACGTGGGATGGGGCCGACCCCAAAGGAGCACGGGCCAGAAAGCTTCAATTGCAGCATGAAACCGGTGAAACCATGGAAACTCATCACGTTCGAAACGCTCCTCAACTGGCTGTTTTCCAGTCCCTATGGTGTGGGAAACCCTGAAGAGCATCTTTCATTCTCCAGTCAGCCCTAAACCCTAAACCCTAAGTAGGCATTTCCACAGGATGGTAATGGGCTGTGGAGAGAAGGTCCGACCCAAAAAACAACTAAATAGTAGTTTCCATTTCATCTTCCATTATCCCAATATTAACCCCAATGCTAATTAAACCCTATAACCCCAGTAGTTTCCATTTTCCCAATGTAATCCCACCATAATCCCAATGTTGATCCCTGCATATTCCCTCTTTAACCCCTATGATACCCTATATAACCCCTATATAATCCCTATATATTGGGATATTGGTAACTATTTAAAGTCTCCAGGCTGCGGCTGGGTGGCTGCACAGTTGTGCTGTGACGGAGTCCGGGCAGGCAGCTTCGGAGCTTCAGGATTTCCCACGGGACAGGGGCTGGGTGTACTATGGGTATATTATGAGTATATTATGGGTATATGATGAGTATACTATGAGTATATTATGCGTATATTATGGGTATATTATGGGTATATTATATGTATATTATTTGTATATTAGGCTTATATTAGGTATTCTATGCGTATATTATTGGTATATGGATTCTGGATGGCTTGCGCCAGAAATCGTTTTGTGATCGCAGGGCTCCGGCTCAAGAAAATGTTGAGTTCCTGTGTTTCCCGGCCTACAGCATGTACATATGATTCCAAGCGGATTTTCGGGATAGCTCCCCGTCGACATTGAACCAAATCTCCTTCAGGGAGTTCCTTTGAGGATACTGGGTTGCTCTTAAGGAAATCGAAATAAGTCACTACGATAAGGAAACCTTACTATTCACTATATAAATAATTATGGTGTGGTAACATAACGTCCTGAATAGCAACCCAGGATATGTTTGTCTGGCTGTGGCCGGCATTGGTCCTCGAGCACCTCAACCAAGCCTGCCCAGCCGAGCCAGACAACCATGCACATTGAGGCTAAGTCTTGCCTAATTTAGCCAAAAGAAGTTCAGAAAGGAAGGCCCTAAAGCCGCCGTGATGGAACACCAGGTAATGTTTCCGTACCGAAAGCGCAAGGAGCCTTCCTCGACCTCCCACGAGCTCGAGGAAGGCTCCTTGCGCTTTCGATTTGACGACATTATCTGGTGTTCCAGGCCAGAGGCTGAACACACGTGCAGCGGTCATTTCGACGGTGCTTGCGAGTGCAACGGTCGGCCTCTCGACTGGCTTCGGGCTCCTGCCTGACAGCGATCTACTCGTGGTACTTGGCTACATTTGCTTCCTTTTCTCCCTCTGCTTCTGGCAGCGGCTCCCCTCCCGCCTCGTCAGCAATCCCTTTTGTTTGTTCGGTGGCTGGCAAAGCTACCTCTTCCGCTTGCGACCTACTCATTAAGAAACGTTTCTAGTGCTGCAAGGCTCTAAGCATCGAGCCATCGCCATGGCAGTTGCGTGGCAAGGTGTTCGCGTGAGCAACCTGGTGTTGTGGTTCTCTGCAGATGTCCCTTTCTGGAGGCCGGCTGCGCTTGTCAGGATGACACTGATATTTTTGGTGGCCATTCCTTTTTACAACTACCGGGGTCTTGACCTGTTTGCAGACGCAGATCCAGCAAGCTCACTGTTTCTACTGTCTGAAGAATCATCGGAATCCTGATACAGGGGAGGAGTTGGTCTGCGATCGCCACCTGATTTTCTCCACTCTGCGATCCTGGCATGGCCCAAGCATTGAAGACCCAGACAATGAGGAGTACCTTCACCGTTTCAATGATATGGTCCAGACAGCTCTCCAAATCCCTTCTTGGCACGGTAGGAGGTGGCGTGCTGGTCCTGTCTGATTATGTGAAGTTGATCGTGGGCTGCGACTCCCCGTCCGTGGATCTTGAGATGGGTGTCCTCTCTGGTGAAGGGGCCATCCGACAAGCTGGAAGGGTTTATGTGGTTCTCGTGGCTGCTGCGTGAGGTGGTCGATCAACTCATGGTCTATCTATTGATGTTCTATTTGATGAGAGTGAGCATGCTCCTGTGGAAGGCTGAACTGCCCGTACTGGTGCTAGCCTCAGCTACGTAAGGGAGTGGAAAGTAGAGAATGGAGAAACGGGGGCTGCCTTGCATTGGCTTGGCAATGTGGTGTATGCCAGCGTGTCAGGAGCAGGTGTCCAGAGGCGTTCTGGCCCTTGCGATGGTTCTTCCTTTGACGCTCCCGACTATTGCAGCCTGGCTACCGTGGTGGCTATCTGCTTCCTCGAGCCCAGAGAAAGCTCGGTGCCTGTGATGCCCTTGATGATCCTCTTCCTTGTCAATGCTGTGCTCTTTGTGAACTTCAGACCCTTTAGGCCGAGCAGTGCCAACTCGCCTGCTTCGCCAGATGGACCCCACCAGGTGCATGCAGAGGCGGAAGCAGAGCTCGAAGCAGATGCGGTTGCCAAGGCTGACACTTACAGCGCCCTGAGTGCAGACGATGTTTGCAGCTGTGCAAACTCAGTCTTCTGAAGGCTCCGGCTTCTTCTCTGTTTCATGCAGGAGCCTGATCCTCAATTTCGAGAGGTAAACCTGTGCTTTCCATCTGTAAAAGGGAGGGTGCGCGTGGTGAATAATGTGTGCGGAGTCTCCCACACTGATCGGGTGCCCTTGGAGGTTTGCTTGATCATTGCTGTCTTTCTGGATGTTGAAGTCAGCTTCCGCACCAAGCTAAGAGCCAATTGCCCTTCAACTCTCAGATTTTACTCTCATTCTAGTTGAAGGATGATTGAGGCTCGCTGTTGTACATGAGCAGATGGACCCAAGTGGCTAATCACAAGATGCAGCCCATTTTCCAGCAAGCTTCTACAGTAATCCTTGCGCCCGCGGGCTGGTGTGACAATGCTGTGAGCCCTGGCTCTGCCCTTTGCCAGTTATTCACGTGCCAGGTACTAATCTGGGGAACTCTGGATGGAGTCACTTATCCTGAGATGACGGAGGTGCATCAGTGTGCCAAGAGAGCGACCTTTAGTACTCGGCAGGATCTCAGAAAAGTGCAAGCGGCATGCATGTTTTGAAAGCAGAGGTGGCCGATTCCAGCTATGGAGCGGTGGCCGTCGACTGCGGCTATGCCCACACGGCCTTCCGCACGAGAGATGGGCAGGCAGCAGCTGTCAGCAGAAGGAATTGCAGAATTTTGCGTGGCGGCTTGATGATGCTAGCATCTCAGGTCTTCGCCCTCGGTGCGAATGCCCGTGGCCAGCTTGGGAATGGCTCCACAGATGCCTTTGCTCTGCCAGTGCTCAGCCTCAAGATGTGAGATATTATGAAAGTCTTGGTTTAAGAGCAGAAACATCTCAGGTTCGTGCGCAGACCACCGCCGTCAGTGGCTCGCCTGTGTGTGCACTGGCCTGTGGCTACGAGCACACTGTGGCGCTTACGGATGCAGGTGCTAGAATCCTGGTGTATGAGCAGCTTGTCTTTCCAACTGCCTCAGATGTTATCTTGATGCATACAGTAAGGCGCTCGGGTCAGCATGTGTACTTCTACATCGCAGAATACCCCTTCCATCCCCTTCCTGCAAAGCTGTTTGTATTTGCGCAGACAAATGATCAGCCCGGAGACCTGGCCTTGTAAAACTCTTTTTTGCATTTGTCAGGTGAGGTGCTGACATGGGGTGCCAATGACCTTGGACAGCTGGGAGACGTCTGGATCCCAGGCCGTGTCAAGCTGATGTTGATGCTTTGGTTTGTTTTAAAATTCTATGATCCTGCCTTGAAGGCCGGTCTGTTGCGAAGTCACCTTGGAGCTAAGGCAAGCGCTGAAGACCGCAGAGTTCCTCAGAGGGTCTTTCAGCAGGATGGAATGCACAGTATCATACAGTATCAGATCTATACAGCTGTTTGAGCGTCGGTTGTGAGTCGCGTGCAGGAACTATGCGGAACTAACCATATAGGGACAAAGCCACATATCCACACAGCTTCCTAACGTGTAAGATTTCAAGCAGTCCCCCGGCGGATTTTGTTTCGGTTGCAGAACGACTGCGTGGGGATTGCCGCCGGCTGGCATCACACTGCATGCTGGGCGTGTGAGCGAGGCCACTGGGCTCCACTGGGCTCACCGTGTTTTTGTCCTCACAGCAAGCATGCTCTTCAGCGATATGAGGTGAGGTTTGGGTTTGGGGCAGCAACCTCGAGGGACAGGTTGGTGATGGCACGAAGGACCAACATGGCACGGCACAGACGGAGCTGTTGGACATGGGGTGCTGCAGGAGTGTGCTCTGAGCCCGCATCGCGTGCTGCGACAGTACCCGCTCCTGATGCACCCTTCCCGGCTAGCCGCTGGTCCCACAGTGCCTGCAGTGTCTACCTTGCTGTACTTCGTACCCTCAATGATTTCGCATGCAACGCATACTCGCGCTACATGTCGGTCTAACAAAAAGCCAAGGCAGTCAGCTTCTTGCAGTTGATCGACTTCCAGGAAAAAGTGCGGGAGGAGTCCAGGACCGGCCATCCATCTTCATGCGGGATCGGGATCGGAGTGATTGGAGCGGAGCTGTTAGCCTTGCAGGATCACGTACCCTGTCATGACTGTGCGCTGCAAGGCAGCATTTCTGGTGAGGCAGCATTTGCTAGGTTGTTTGGTCAACGTGCTTTCTGGGCAACTACATGCTTTGCAAATCCCAGGAGAGGTTGTGCACCAGGTCGTCCGGCCAGCGACAGCCCAAGATAGCAAGATCCCAGGTGCTTGGTGTTGGAGGATGTTGGAGGCATTGTTTCAGTGCCACACCACAAGAGATGATGGCAAAGTCATGAAGGTCATAGGGTCTGTCGCTGCTGTAGCTGCAGGCTACAGCCTCCCAGCCAAATCTTGGCTACGCACGTTTTCTGAATTCTACTCGGCCTCTGCATCTCGGCATAGTCTGCAGCAAGTGCTCTGGCTGCCATTCGACCCCTTTGGCATCTGTGGTTTTGCAAGGTCGGGTGAGGCTTTCATCTCCCACGGCTGGGACGGGCCCTTCGTGGCTTTCGTCGAGGCTGTGGTGGAGGCACTTTTCGAGGTTTCTTTAAATCCTTCAGCGTTTTCTGGCAACTTAGTTTGCCAGGTCTTCTCTTCATGGCAGAAGCCGCCCAATCTTTGGATTTCCTTTCTGGCGCCTTGGGAAAGGGAAGCAGAGGAACTTTCTGATGGAAGTGGTGTACGACTTGTTGCCGGTCAGGCCCTGTCCGTCCACGTCCTGGTGCCGCTCCGCTTCCGCCGGGAGCCCCCTGAGGCACCCTGGGCACTGGCCCTCCGGCGGGCAAAGATAGCGCCTTGGCCGAACTCCAAAAGATTCCACTGATTTGACTGATTCGTGCAAGCAGACTTGTCTGAGCCCACTTGAAACTGCATGTTGCGGACTCAGGTGCTTCTCGTCCGGAACCGCAGGTGCGGCTTAGGGTAGGATAGTTGATCGGGATCTCATTCCGCGCAGCGCTTCTTTGTTGCCGATGTTGGACATGGCCATTGCTGGTCTTGGCTGCCCCAACCGCTTCGTAGTCTGTGTCCTCCATATCGTGGGCACCCCGTGGGAAGAATCCCTTGGCATTAGTAAAGTGCACTTGGCATCGTCGCCTGACGTATTACGACGTTCTTCCAAATTCAACTTTCAACATCCCCTTTTTGAGCTACGCTACATGCCGCAGCTAGCTTTTACGCTGTAAAACCCCTTGCTGCAGGGAGGTCCCCTTGCAGCAAGCCTCAGACTTTAAGAAGAACACAGAAGGTGCGATGTCTACAAGCGGCTCTGGTGTGTGCCTGGTCTGCTTTTGGTCCGGATTATGTTTCAGCTGGCTTCCAAGCACATCCATGGGGCTGAAAAGGTCTTCGAGCTCTTTGTGGCCTCCAGCCTCTTGGACGGCGTTTCGTTTTCTCTTGATCTTCGTCTTTTCGTACTTGGCTCAGGCCTGGGCTTCTTGAGTCGCCCAGGAGGGCTACTGGTCCACGGGGCCAACCACCCAGCCACGGTGCGGAGGGGTCATGCCAGTTCATGCAGAGTCGTGCAGCAGCGCAGCAGGTGGGTGCTGAGAAGCCAAGTTTCTGCCAGGAGCGGGTGGTGAAACTCTCGGGTTGTCAGACCTCTGTGCCGGAAGACAAGGCCAGCCTACACGGGCCTACGCAGTCAACCTCCCTTGGTGTGATGTGTAGCAGAGGAGTGGCTGCTGTCCTACTTCGACCAACACCCTGGCTCAGCGGAGCAAGCAGAAAGGGTCGCTAGCCATGTACATAAGACTTTTTATCGCTGACGCCTGCAGTAAGAGGTTTGTGCAGGCGAACGCATCGACACTGCAAGCAATATGGGCAGCAGTTGTGTACCCAAAGTGGCACTTTCGCCTGCCTTGCACAAAGGGTTTCTGTAAACTTGGAAGCCTTTTGGAGCTTCGTTTGTCATGAGCAAGCGCCTATTCCCACAAAACGCTGACTGCTTTCTGCCTTGAGTCTCTCCATGTCAATTCAAGCGGATCCATGCCCACCAGCTCCTGTGCTCTTCGCCATAGCTTGTGATATTTGGCGTATACTTGACACGAGACATTGCAGTGGCCCCCAGATGTTCAGACTGGAGCAAGCGTTGAAGCTTGGGTACTACTGCCGTAGACTGGATTGACGGCCATGGCCAGTTGCCAGTCCGAGGACGGGTGAGTGTATTTTTCATGGCTACATCTTCCATGCTCGAGTTCATATGCAGGTTTGGCCTTCTTGTCATGCTGAGTGCAGGAGACGGACGTACCGTTCATGCTCAAAGCGTAAGCTACTTAGCAGTATGGGAGATTTGTCGCCGAGTTGAACCTTGCCTTTCAGTCATATCAGGCTTGAGCATGGCGAGAAAGGAAGGCGAGTGTGAGCCTCAGGCCAATTGGAGACTACGAAAGCTTCTTGAGGTCCTTCGTTTGAAGCCCGGATTTTCCGATCTGTCCGAAGGGAGTTTCAAAGAAGACCTGATTTAGCGGCCTTCCTGGGCCGGGCTCTACCGCAGCACCAGCGGAGGGTCCTGTAGAAACGGACGCCTTGTGATACTGATGAGGCTGGCTGCGGGGCTGGTTGGAGGGAGCTTTTGGCGGTTGGACGCCGGCATATTTTTGTATCTTGCGACATCTGACTGTATTTGATTTGGCTTGAGAAAGCAGGTTCGATCCGTTTGATATTGTTATCCTCGCAAGAATAAGACCCCCTTTGGTCGATCCATGGTTTTGTGAGGGGTTGCGCAATTTAGGTCCTTGGTTGTTTTGTTGGTTCGGGTATATGTCCTAATGCTAGTATTAGTACTAGTAATCAGTATTTGAATTTTCGCATGCGAAGGCGTTTGGTATATTATTAGTAGTGGCATTTGTATTAGCATGAGTATGAATTTTGGTATTGGATTTATACTATGAATACTCATATTAATGTTAGTAGTGCTACATACTGATTTCCTCGTACTCATATGAAGACTAAACATTATATTATTGATCCTAATATTTGTATTTACACAAAATACTAAACCGAACATCAATATACATATTCATGTCAGGTTTACTATTCACCTAATATTCACAGTATCTGTATTGGTATGAATGTAGTATCGGTATGCTATTCGTTTGAATATTGGTCTTGATAAGGATTGTCAGTACTCGTAACAGTACGAGTATTCTCGCTAGTACCAAGATTAATATTCGTACTCGTAATCGTATTTTCATTAGTAGAGTGCGCAATAGTCTTTGTATGCTTATGACTACTATTTATTGGTATTAGTGGCATTCGCATTGCTATTCGTATTAATTAGCATCAGTATTTCCCACTTCTCAACCCCAGCCCAGCTCCCCAGTTTTAGCACTTTACTTCTTGCATATTCATCTCAAGGCACAGCAATGAAGTGGGAATACTAGTGCAAGCTTCTCTGTGGGCTTTAAGTGGTGGCCCAGGAAGTCTACCAGTACAGATTGCATCTCAAAGTATTTGTTCACGTTTCAACAATTCTAATCGAAGTGGCCTCAAAAATCACTCCTTGCATGGATTTTGTTATTGCAGGGATGTGATTACTGCAGGTCGAGCAGATTGTGGACAGTAAGTAGTCTAGGATCGATTAATTTCGGGCCTTTCTTCAATGGAGTTGTAATGGGACATCGACCATTCCGAATCTTCTGAAATCCGCGGATTTTCTTATCCCGAAGAAGGCGTTCAGATAGTTGTGCAGCGGTTCTGCTAGCTTTTTATGCCTGCTTAAGCATTGCACGCCTATAGTTTCCTGCAGTTGTGCAGCAGTTCTGCTAGCTTTCCAGCACTGCCAATCTCTAGTTTCCTGCAGTCCTGCAAGTGTCCAGGCCTGCTGCACCAGTGCCAGTTTCTAGTTTTCTGCAGTTCTGCTTTTTGCTTTTTAATATCTGGATTTTTTGGGAGGAATTTCCTTATTGCAGTGGATTTTGTAATTGCGCTTCTGGACTGGAATCTTGCTATTGTAGGGCGCGCTATTGTTGATAGGTTAGCATTGTTTCTTCTCTACCTGTTGGAGCAAGTTTGGTCCGCTGTGCCTTTGTGTGTAAGTGTGTTGAGCCGCAGATGAAAACCTGCTAAGGCCTTGGCTTGTTTTGTCTGGCATTTTTAGGTTTTTAAGTATGTCTGGTATACAAGGATCCTAGGGTTAAGGGCCCATACTAGCGGGCCATGGTTTCAACCTTAGAGGCATGCCTTGCTGAGATTACGGCTCCAAATCCCTGGGTTGGAGCCATCATCGTCGGCGCTGACGGCAGCGTGCTGGGCGAGGGATTCCACAAGAAGCACCAGCACATTTATCTGACCTTTTCAGTCTGCAAGCATCTTAGCCTTGGTCACATTTAAGTCACTTAGCCATTTTGCGGCCACATCTCCTTGCCAGGGGCCCTGGCTGTCCACATGCGGAGGTGGAAGCCTTTCGGGATGCCGAGGCTAGGGTGCCCAAAGTTCGGAAACTGAAGTGCATATGAATCTCCTGGCATACATTTGAGAAGGCTCATGTTTGCACCAATGCTTGCTTGAGCAAGAATGAGAAACTGACAGCAGGACCCATTACAACACTGTGTGCTGAAGGCCAAAGGCGTCTCGGACTTCTCCAGAGCTACGATTTTCAGCACCTTGGAGCCATGCCACCGTGGCCCTGGCAAGCCAGACACTTGCTTCTGAAGGTTTCCCTGGTGATGTTGCATTCGATCTGGCAGTAGGCGCACGCCTCCCTGTGACGAGCTGGTGGTCTCAAAGAGGGTCAAGAGATGCGTGGGGTGCTGAGGTAAAGATTGCAAAATGTTCCGCCATGCGGTTCGTGCAAGGTCATTGGGCACGTGGACCCTGACGAGAACTTTGGTGGCATGGGCGTGCGTTTCATACGGGATGCTGGAATCCAGGCAGTGTCGTGAAGCAGTGTTTGATGCCAGTGGTAAGGCTAGCAGGACACTTGCAGAGGCTGACAAATACTGTAGCACCCTTAGTTTGACAAATTGATGGATGGCTCCGTTCCGCCGTGCCTTCCAGTCTTCCAGTTTGCAGCATGTTTGCAGTAACAAGCCAAGCTGTTGCCATCACATCAGGCTATGGATGTGACCCTAGCACAACCTGTAGCCTTGTCAACCCCGCTTCCGTTGAAAGATGATGCCGCTGATAAAATGCTAGGTACTTAAAACTGCACTTTTTTGTGACTTTAAGTGTCACCTTCAAGGCCAGAAAATATAGATTATAGGGGTTATATAGGTGTTATATTGGGGTAATATTGGGATAATGGAAAAGAAAATGGAAACTGCAGGGATTATATAAGGTTTTATAGGGGTTAATATCGGGATAATGGAAAAAAGAATATGGAAACTACTACATTATCGGGTTATGTGAATGTTCACCCTCCCTCTTCGAGGACAATCAGCTGAGTCTCTGAAGCTGTGGCAGTGTCGTCAAGATGTGCATGGCGCTTGCTGGTGGCAAGGAATGGCCTTGTCACCATCGCAAGATAAAGGGAAGCAACCCGCAACGTACCACGAATTACTGAGGGCTCCATGATCCTTCCATGAATGGATCCATTACATGGATCTTACTTCCAGCGTCTCCACCTTCGATACTTCGTCCAGAAGAGTTTAGCTTTGCGGGTTGGACGCTGCAGGGACACTCTCCTGCTGCGCATGGCAGGGATACTTTTGTATTCCTCCGCAAACTTGGGCCTAGGCACCGCAGGGACAATGTGGGCCGCAATCTGTAGGGGTGCTGGGATGTTGGGCGCTTCAAGGATGAGTTGGGCACTGGAGGGACTCCGCTGTTAGGCATTCCAGCGACGCTCTGGGGTTGGGACTGCAAGAACGCGATCGATCGGACCAGGAGAAGATGTCGTTTTAGCGGAAATTTACCAACCCCACAGGCGGAGAGAAAGAGGACTTCAGGCGATCTAATGGAGCATTATTTGGGTTGTAAAGCTGTGGACGCCCTGAATCCCCTCGTAAAATTCGAAAGAGCATCCTGATGTCAGAAGTCGTCCATCCAGCTTTGTTGCCAGGCTCAAGCATGGGAACCCCTGCGCAGTCCAATCCCATGCCGGAAGAAGGGAGCCCCCAGAACACTTCAGACCACAGGAACAGCAAGGCCTGGATCCCAGCCACAATTTGAGTGAAGCACTCAACCCAGAGAGGATCTTTTTATCGAAGCTAATTGAATAACATCTCATCACAGCGAAGGGGCAGAAGGGGTCAGGCAATTCAAGCATCGAATGCCATTATATGCCATTCACATTGCCTGACCGGCAGGTAGATGTGGGCATCGCGGAGGCTTGATTGTCAGCCGTCACATACACAAAGGGTAAGACAAGTAGAACCGTCCACAGGAGCCGGTGAGGAGATCTTTCCGAAGCTACTTCCATCACCGGCGGACGGGAAGGCCTTCATCTTGGATTTGAGTTGGGACTGGCTCAAAGGTTTTTAGGCATCTATGCCATCACCTGCTTCAGGCCTTATGTTGTCCTCAAGATTGCGACTAGTTTGGATGGCCGGGTGGCTGGGATCCTAGTCGCTGCCGTTGACATCCAATTGCTAGCTGGTTGCTGTGGTCTGGGCTTAGCTGTCTTTAGTCACTTTAGTCGTCCTACGGCACGGCTCACGCCGTTGTAGGCGAAGTGGAGAGAAGCTCGCAGTTGTCCGAAGATTGAGGCCTGTGCGGACAAGACTTCTCAGTGGATCACGCAGGCATGGCGCAGAATGTGTTAGGGGCATACTGCAGGACAGGATGCTACATGACTGTATCAGACCAGCTGAGCAGCCATGCACAAGCTCCAACGATTGACCCTTTCTTGCGCAAGGGCCCTGCGCGGCAAGATGCCCACCGACTTCGTGCGGAGTCGCAAGCGGTGCTTGTGGGCAAGGATCCCAAGAAACACGGCCCTCGTCAGGATTTTGGCAACAACTGCCTTACCTGCAGAATGCAAATTGCATCGAGAGCATGATGTCGATATGATGTAGACAGCGGCCCACATCATGCATGAGCAAAATCAGCAAGCATTTGCCTCCAAGGCAGCGGCACTGCGCTGGCCGACAGGCGTAGAATTTAAACATCAGTTACTCTTTCCGGTCGTCAGCTCCAGACTACGAGGCCAAGCCTCACAGTCCGCCTGGATGGGGAGCCAGCACCTGCCAAGCCACCACTGCGCCAGCGGCTCAAGCTGCTATCGCCTGTGGCACACTTTCGCCTTCTCGATCCCTTTGGATCCCTTTCGTGGCTTGCATCGCGGCATCATCTTGCTGTCTTTCGCAAGGCGTGGTCCTGGACTCCCGGGGCCAGGTGACTGAGGGACCTCTCATGGAAACAGCCGCAGCCTCCACCCTCATCTTTACAAGCCGCGGACCCGGGAAATTCCGGTTTCATTGGCAAGGGACCGGTGCTACTAAAGACATGTGAAGATGGGTGAGCCGCAAGGTCGCGAGCACTGCTCCCAGCAGGCCAAGAAGAGGTGCGGCAGGGCCTCGTAGACATAGTGGTGCCCCATGCTCTGCCTGTCAGACTTGTGCAGATAAGCTGAAGTGCAACTTGCGGGATGGTGCAAGATGAACGCAGCCGAGTGTACTCCTCCTTGGCACACATGGATGCATGTAGCTCCACATCATCTACGTTGTAGTGTCCAATTCTGACTTGGTCAGTCGGCTGGTTCCGAGTCTTCACCTAGCTTTGTTTCATCAGGCGGACTCTGATGCCAAGCCCCTACATCATAAAGACACATCGGAGAACCCTTAGCCATGACTTTCTTCAACCTGGGCAGTGTAGCGGTGTGTGGCGCGAGCTTGGCTGTGCTGCTACCGCTAATCTCTAAACTTGCTGCGCCGGCCCCTCCTCGCAGGGCTCGTACATTGGGTGATCCAACATACGACCTGGAAGAGATTGATGCTCCGGTAGCCACCGGAACCAAGCTGCGCATAATCACCTGGGTCCTCGCCGACAGTCCAGTTGGGTCGCTGTTGCGGCGGGTCCTCCTGAATCAAAATGGCGCAGACGAGTTGCAAGACCTGGCGCTGCAGGTGGTGGACGAGGGCAAAAGCACAGTCGTGAATCAGCCCATGCGTCGCTTAAACGCGGCGGAGTGGAAACGACATGAAGCAGCGGCACAAGGTTCTGGCAATGTTCAGAAGCTGCTTCAGGAAGGCTTCGGAGAGGAGCCAGGGGCTTATGTCAGCGTGGAAGAGTACGCGAAAGCGTATAGGAAGGGAGCCTGGAAGCCGACGTTGGCCATGGAACGTGTGCTTTCCGCTGTGCGCCAGCTGGGCAAAGGGGTCTTCGTCACTGTGCTGGAAGAAGAGGTCCGAAGGCAGGCCAAGGAGTCAGAGCGGCGTCTGGCAGCAGGCGATGCTCGCAGCATCTTTGAGGGCGTGCCGGTCGCCGTCAAAGACATGGTTGCCGTAAAAGGCCATCCCTTCAGTGAAGGAACTGTGTGGCCGGCAGGAGACCGGCACAACAAACCAGCAGAAGAGGATGACAATGTGGTACGACTCTTTCGAGAAGCAGGAGCTATCATCCTGGGAACTACCGTCATGACCGAGTTTGGGGTTACTCCGCTGGGGTATTCCGTGCACTTCCAAGGGCCCCTCAATGCCTACAACAGCAGCCACTACTGCGGAGGTAGCTCCTCTGGTTCTGCAGTGGCAGTTGCACTGGGCCTTGTGCCTGTGGCAGTGGGAATGGATGGTGGCGGCTCGGTTCGAATTCCTGCTGCTATGGAAGGCGTCTTTGGCTTGGCGCCCACCTACGGACGAACACCAGACTCAAGCCCGGACACACTCTTCGGCACCATGGTCAAGACTGGCCCCATTGCTGCCTCAGCACGGGATGCAGCGCTCGCGCATGCGGTTCTGTCACAGAGCGTCTCCAGCCACCCCTTCTCACAGCTTTATGGCAACCCTCCAGGCGTTCCTCCGGTGCACCTGGATAGCTTCCTCGATACGAACTTGAAAGGCATTCGCCTTGGAGTTTTCTGGGACCACTTCAATGATGCTGAACCTCTCGTCGTTGAAGCCTGCAAGAAAGCTCTTGAGACCATGAAGACTCTCGGGGCGGAGGTGGTGCCAATCAAGCTACCCCACCTCAAAGCTCTTTCCTTAGCCCATGGAATGCACATTGCCGTGGAATTCTCAACTTTCTTTGGCAATCTCCTTTACAATGGCCACAACCTTGAGCCAGGGACTCGAGTGACATTGGGGCTGGGCTACTCTGTGTCTGGTGTGGAGTTTAGCTCTGCCAACATCTTGAGAGGTTGGGCACTAAAGTATATCAGCGAGGAGATCTTCACGAAGCTGAATGTTCAGGCAATTGTGTCACCGACTATGGGGATCCTTCCACCAAAGATTCCCAAGGATGCAACCACCGCTGGTGAAAGCAACACACCTTTAGTGCTTCAGACTCTCTGCTTGCACACAGTCTTCTGCGTTTCAATCTTGTCAATACCAGGCCCCACCGCATCATAGTCCTGGTGATTTTTTGAGGACGGGTAACTTTCGAGGGGGCACCAGATCACGTGTCCACAAGGAAGTGTTGTCCAGGATTTGAACGGCGCAATTACCGCCATTATCCGGCTTGATCTTTGTTAATTTTGAACATCAGCTTGCCTGGCCTTGACGGGTAAGTACACAGGTAGCAAATGAGCTTAGAGAGAAACAATGTCTGGGCACCAGAACGGAATGCAATGCCATCCTTAGCATACAACCTCGCTGGCAATGTGCGGACAGCGCCTTATTTTCAAGTGTGTTCTTGCAAATCACACCAGTCAAGGATGATGAAGTACATCTTCTTGGGCAATCTTCTTGGCCTACCCGGCATCAGCCTGCCTGTGGGCTATGATGACAACACGAATCTTCCTATTGGCCTTCACCTGTGTCTGGGCGAAGTCTAGTAAAACTTGCTTCAATGACTGACTTGTTGTGGTATGCTGGATGCCGTAATATTCCGAGCCTTGCAATGGCACCTTCAGGATGGGCGACCATTGGGAAGAAGCTGTTCTCCTCAGACTGTCCAACGCGCTGGAAACACACCACGTCAAGAGGAAGAAGCCTGCGAGATCATTTGATCTGCGTGATGGGAGCTAGACCGCCCAGCGTCTTTCGTCTCATGGCCTTCCCAACAGCCTTCCTGCGGGCAGATGAACAAGCTGTGCGAAGACGCGCATGTTTTACATGCGCTGAGGTATGTGTGGCGGCGCTCGCTGCAAGGAATTGCTTAAAAAGGGCCAGCAGGTTGCCAAGAGCACGAGAGTCCAGAGTTAGCAATGCATCTTGACATGTCTTGATAACAGGTGGCAAGAGTGTGCTGTTGAATTCTGCGAAGTCCCACTGGTCGCCACCTTGACTGATTCGAATTATTGGGCCCAGAGAATGTTGCAGGACACTGTCGCTTTTCTGAGGTAGAGGACAAGCTGGACCTGAACGCAGTGCTGTCTGCTCTCGGCGCACGGGGGGTGCGGTGCCTAGCTCCAGAGCTCGTATGACTCGTGTATGAGTCCGAGTAAAGAAATATAAAAAGTGTTATGCCCGACTATCGCAACCAAGGTACTACAGCTCATGGTCGAAGGTGGTGCAGTGCTTCAGGGCGAGATGCTGCAGCAAAACCTGGTGCAGGCAGTGCAAAAAGAGATATGTTCTACCTGGTGCTGCTGACTGCGTTGCTAGGAGCTACGGATTTACTTCGGGGCCACATTGCAGGGGCCTTGGCACTTAACAATGATATTCCGGACCGCACTGCCGGCGAACCTTAGGCTTGGATCTACAGCGCAGGCATGGGCTCAGACACCTTTGACCTCCACCATCAAGGAGGCCAGAACAAACGCGTGCTAGGGTCCTTGATGCTGATTGCTCTTGAGGCGCGCTTCTGGACGCTACGGGAGCTCCGGCGAGTGGGCATGGGCCACGGTCCGTTTTGCAGGTTGGCTAGCGGGCTACTAGTAGCTTTTGTCGAGGCAATGACGTTTGTCTGGAGTACGAGCGCTCTGACGACTCTGGTGCTTGAAGGTTTTAAGTTGAAGGCTTCAAAGCAAATGGAGAGAAGTTTCACCATACCAGAATCGGAAAGCGCATCCTCCTAGCGAAGGAAGCAGGTCTGAATGTAGTGTACCATGATCTGAGCAGAGGACATGAGATGCCGGATAACAGGTGCGAACTGCCCTGAGAGATCCGCAGGCTTTCGCATTCAGCTTGGGTTGAAGGTGAAGAGATCACGTTGTACCTATACGCACGCGTAAGGGCACTGATCCTGCTTAGGACGACCATCTGTAAAATGTTCTGCTTGGCATCTGAACAAGACAGCATCAGCCTATGTTGACTTTTCCGAAATCAGTACTCGGTCCAGCCAAAAAACGATATCTGCGGTCAGAGGACGCTGCCGCCCTGCCCCAGCCATGGGCGGTCATGGCTAGATACCCGCACCTGCAAGGCAAGATGATACATACTTGCAACTCTTTTTGTTATTGGTAGAGTGTGGCATGGTCTGAGTGCTGGCCTATCAGAAAACAGAGGACTGTGCAGGTGCTAGATGTCTATGTGCTACGTGGGTCCTGTGCGGACGCTTTCTTCCTGATGCACATGCAGGGTTTTGGCTGGCCCAGCCCTCAGGAAGACAACACAAAATGCATGCTTAAGAATCTCTCAAGCAGTTTGCAGACCAAGTGTCTGGAGGTCGGCAAACGCCGTCTCAATGTGGCAGCCGACATTTTTGCCGTGCTTAGCGGCTTCGTCTCCCTGCAAAAGCCGGGCACCGACGAGGACTGCGAGAGGAAAGCACAAGAAAATCAGGACATGTCCATGGCATGACGGCATGAACAAAGGACTGGCAACGTCTCGGCCGGCGGCTTCTGCGCGTTCTCCCGGCACTTTGGCTCTCGATGCTATGGACCGTGGGGCTGGAACTTTGCCAAACGCTGCTTCCCGTGCTAAGCCAGCAAGGGCTGTAAAGCAAGCTGCGAGTGGCGTGACTTCTCATTTTCCTATCGTCCTTGCTTCAGGAGCTTCATCCTACTACCCCTACCTCCTGGCAAAGCTCTGCGCTGCGCGCTGCTGGCAGAGATGTGGGGCGAGGCCGTTGCATGCAGAGATTTGCGAGGGAGGGCAAAGCCTTGGCTGAGGATGCCATGCACTGCCCGGTGTCCGCCACCTGGACTGTCGCGGCGTGCTGGCCCCAGCTCCTGCGAGGAAAGATGCCGCTTTGCATGTTTCAGAGCTGGATGATTATGATTATCATGACTTGCAGGCTGTTTCCCTGCTGGTTGGTAGTACCTTTGCTGTCTCAGCCCCAGCGTGTGGCACATGGGCCACCAGAGGCAAGAAGATCGCAAGATGCGTTGTTCTGAACTGGCCGCCTTCAGGTCCACTGCATTTCGACACAACTCGGCTGGGCTTGGCTTTGCCGTGTCTGCTGACAGCTTATGCTTGCGCGTGAGCACTTACGTGTCTGCGAATGGCAGGGCTTGGTTTCGTCATGCTTCGTCCAAGGCTGCAGGGCTCTGGCTCGGCGCCACAATGCTCAGCCGTCACCTGTTGCAGAACAGCCTTGCTCTCGGCAAGCTGCTTGCTCTGCCATGCAATCCGTTCCCATCATGAGCCATCCAAGCCAAAGGCCTCAAAGCCACAAAGTTGAATCACTACCCTCTGAACCTCGTGTAATTAGTATAATCACTTTGAGTGCAGCGTCCAGGCCTCTTCCTACCCCTGGCAGCGCTTCCGGACTTCTGCCTCGGCGCAGCGGCAGCGCGCTACGTGGAGGCAGGGGCTGAAACTGATCTTTCCAAAGGGTCAGGAGTGGTGTTACAACTTGGAGTTAGAGGGCACTACTCTGGAGATTACTGAAGGGCTGCGCCCAGGGCCGGGCAACGCAGGCAGCATATTTTC